GACTACAGCAGCTGTCAGGTAATATAGAGGTGCAAAGCGCTCTGTTCGATTGTCAATGTTTATATTAAAAGATGTCTATATAACATATCTTCTTCCAATCTTAGATCGATTGATGCAAGTTGGACGGTGTGCAGGAGTTCATTAGTAAAAGCAATAATATAACATAATAAAGTGAAGGTTGCAGCTGAATCAGTTTGTAATTTCCTTGCAGATAAAACAAATAAAAATTCCTCAAAACAACTTCAAATATAAACGCCTCCAAAAATTCAGCGCAGAGGAGGCCTGGTGTTAATCTGTCAGCAAAAGCCGAGCTCTGGTATGAATATCCTTCAACTGCTGACTATTCATACGTCAATCCAGGCCGGGGTGTCGGTGGCCACCAGGAAGCTAATCCAGATGTATGTGCTATGGGTCCAGTCAGCACCCCCTTCCCCCCCATCCAGCCTCCATCCAGCCTCCATCGGGACTGAGGTTTTCAAGCCGTGCCAACCATTGTTATTCTCTTCCAGTAACCACATTTGTACGCAAACTGTAACCTTCCTACATGGCAGGCGCTCCTTCTGCTCTGGCACGGCTCCAGAGGGGAAGGGGGGGGGCTAATCAAAGCCCCGAAGCCTGCAAAACAAATTAGGAAGTGAGCCCTTTGCATGTTCCCTCTGGGAGTGGTCCAGCTGGTTTCTTCTTTCTGTGACAGAGGTTTTCAGATGCTTACACTGGTGGTGGGGGGGTGATTTATGCAGCTGTGGATGCTGGCCCAGGCTCCACAGATCACCGCCCTGGGCTCTACAACCACCAGCTAATGTCAGGGCCGTGTTGGAGAACGACTCCACATGCACCTACTTGTCTGAAGATGTGGATGTCCTGGCTGCGGGTGATCAAGTGGGCGTTCTTAGCCGTGCATGTGGCCGTTTCCAGTTTGTCTCCGGTCAGCATCCAAACCTGCAAAGAACCGAGAGGAAACGGTTCAAAGGGAACACAAAAGCACATCCAGTAATGATCTCTGATGAGATGAGAGGAAAATAATGGACACAAAGCAAAAAATTCTAATCCAAATAAGTCATTTTTTCTTAAAATAAGTGCATTTGTTCTTGAACTGAGGAGGAAAGTGAGACACTTTGCCAATTGAGCAAGATTATTTACATTTAAAATAAGAAAAAAAAACAGCTGCATTGTCTTATTTTAGGTGCATAATATCTAAATATCTTATTTTAAGAGTAGAAATACTATTTCCACTGGCAGATCATCTTATTTACCTGCTCAAATTAAGAGTAAATAAACTTAATTTATTAGATTGCTTTTGCAGTGTACTTCATGGCAGACGACAGTCTGTAGATTTAACTCTACTGCAACAATAAGTTAAAGTTGCTAAACAAAACAAATGAGACAATATTTTCAATCAAATATTTTGATTTGAAGTATTTTTTTTTTTACTATGGAGTGAATTTAGTTCCATTATTATTATTAAAAAAAATTTGAAACAATTTTTTTTTTCCAAGTTAAACAGATTTTTTCGAATATCCTTATTTTCTAAATGCGTTTCACAGATCTAATTCTTTCCACTTCTGGGGTCGGGTTTTCCTGTACAGTGAGGAGTGAAGAAGCATTTCTATTGGTCTGCTGGACGTTAGCAACATTTTCATTGGTCAACAGCGAGCGTTTGTGTTGGAGTGAAGAAAATGTGATCTGAAAAAAAAAGGCTGTTCGCAAAATCTATTTGAAGAACAGAAATTTAAAAAACAATTCTGCTAAAAAAAATTACTATTATAAAACTTTAATTTGACTTTAATTTGACAAATAATAACATTTGCAAAAAAAAATACAACGAAAAAACCCAAAAATAAGCTTTGAAAAATCTATGAAAATTTGTTTGGAAAAAAAAATATTCTGAGGTTAAAAAATTTTTTTGTTTAAGTATTTTTTTGGGATTTCCTATTTCTATTTAGACTTTTGGATGGCAACAATAAGTTAAAGTTGCTAAACAAAACAAATGAGACAATATTTTAAATCAAATATTTAGATTTTGAAGTATTTTTTTTTAGCTATGGGGTGAATTTTGTTCCATTATTATTATTGCAGGCAGAAAAAAACATTTTTGTTTAAACAATTTTTTTTCTAAGTAAAATTTTTCAAACAGACTTTTAGGAATATCCTTATTTTCTAAATGCGTTTCACAGATCTAATTCTTTCCACTTCTGGGGTCGGGTTTTCCTGTACAGTCAGGAGTGAAGAAGCATTTCTATTGGTCTGCTGGACGTTAGCAACATTTTCATTGGTCAACGGCGAGCGTTTGCGTTGGAGTGAAGAAAATGTGATCTGAAAAAAAAAGGCTGTTTGCAAAATCTATTTGAAGAAAAGAAATTTAAAAAACAATTCTGCTAAAAAAAAAAAATTATAAAACTTTAATTTGACAAATAATAACATATAAAATTTGCAAAAAAAATACAACGAAAAAAATCAAAAATAAACTTTGAAAAATCTATGAAAATTTGTTTGGAAAAAAAAATATTCTGAGGTTAAAAAATTTTTTTGTTTAAGTATTTTTTTTGGGATTTCCTATTTCTATTTAGACTTTTGGATGGCAACAATAAGTTAAAGTTGCTAAACAAAACAAATGAGACAATATTTTTAATAAAATATTTTGATTTTGAAGTATTTTTTTAACTATGAAGTGAATTTTGCTCCATTATTATTATTGCAGGCAGAAAAAAAAAATTTTGTTTAAACAATTTATTTTCTAAGTAAAATTTTTCAAACAGATTTTTTCGAATATCCTTATTTTCTAAATGCGTTTCAGAGATGTGATCTGAAAAAAAAAAGGCTGTTCGCAAAATCTATTTGAAGAACTGAAATTTAAAAAACAATTCTGCTAAAAAAAATTTTGTAAAACTTTAATTTGACAAATAAAATATGAAAATATAAAATTCGGGAAAAAAACTAAACTTTGAAAAATCTATGAAAATCTGTTTGAAAAAAAAAAATTATTCTGAGGTTAAATTATTTTTTAAAGTATTATTTTGGAATATCCTATTTTTATTTAGATTTTTGGATGGTAAATTTTAAATTCAAACTTCTTTGAGATGGATGGAAATAAAACGATCCAAAGGGAACGTTCCTTTAATACTATAGAAAGCATTTGTTATCATCCGTTTTCTAGTAAGTTCTGCATTTTGTTTCCACTATAAAGGCCACCCACCCTGATGCCTGCGTTGCGGAGGATCTCCAGAGTTGGTCTGACATCGGTCTGGAGCTGGTCCTCCACCCCCGTCAGACACAACAGCTCCATCTCCATCTCCAGGCTCTCGATCACCGTGGCCACTTTCAGGGAGCGGTCATGAACGCTGAGTTTGGCCTGGACGTACCGCGCCTGGGGAGCAGCACAAACAATGGAGCCACGGCACGTGGGAGGATACAGAAAAATAAATACAGTGATTCACTGGAAGAGAATCAGACGGTAGAAAACGAGGAAACGTCAAGTCTGGCTACGAGAATAAGAAATGTGAAGCAGGTAAAACATCAGCAAGACAAAAAAAAAAAAAACTAGAATAATCACATTAATAATAATAATCAAATACTGCAAAACAGGGGCTCCCAAAGTGGGCGTGAGGGGCCCCAAGTCACAATAAGCCAAGTAGATGAGCTTCACATCGTTGTGATGTGATCCCTGAGGCATATGGAGGGCCGAAATAATAAACATAGGTACAATAAAACAAGCAGATGAAATATTAAATGCAAACTTAAATTTTAAATACACCATAAAATAAAAAAATACCAGATTAAATAAATAAAATATTTCAAAAATAATTAAATAATTTCATCTTATTTTAAAAACAAAACAATCCTTTAGATGGAAATCATAATAAATTTTGACATTTTCATCTCCTCAATTTCAGAAACACATCCAGACAGCAACAGGCGACACCCGATGCAAGGGTCTATGTTAAAATAAGTAAACATTTCTTAAAATAGGTAAATATTCCCTGAATTTATCAGATAAATAAGACGATTAGACAGCAGGTAAGTATTTCTGCTCTTAAAGGAAGATGACTCAATCCTTTTTTTACTTGAGATAAAAGAGCTGATTTTACTTATTTTAAACATAAATCCTCTGATTTAAAAACTGTCACAAGACTTACCTGCAATGTGACATTTTTTTTAAAATTAATTTAATCAATAGTACAGAAAAAATTAAATAAAAATCTGATTTATTACCTACTGTGCGGTAACTTATCATCTAACATGAAGATTGAACTCAGGATGTTAACATTGGTTCTTCCTGTTAAAAGGGAGTTTTTCCTCTCCACTGTCGCTACAAGCATGCTTAGTCTGAGGGATTGCTGAAAATTCAATGAGTCGATGCAAGCAACTGGTTTTTCTTAGATAGAAAACTTTGAATCAATCTGACTGGATGATTTGGTTGAACTGTAAAGTGCCTTGAGATGACATGTGTTGTGAATTGGCGCCATAGAAATAAACTGAATTGTAACATTTATGACACTCCATGTCTTCCGTAGAATAATTACATCCTCATCGGTGAGGCATCCGAGCTATGGAGTGAATTTTGTTCCATTATTGTTGCAGGCAAATAATGCTTTGGGAAATGGAAATTAAAAAATAAATAAATAAATTATATATATATATATATATGTAATTTAAATATATATGTATATCTATTGAGAAATTAAACATTTGAACTAACATGTTTTGAGAGTAACTTTTTTCTTTTCCTAGAGTATAATATTTCATTTTCATATTGTTTTTTTTTTTTATTATTATTTTGAGTTGGACTCCCTCACATGTCAATGTTTTAATTGAAATTTCATGTAAGTGCATATTTGGCTTTTATGTGTGTGTTTTTGTACGTATGTAATGATGTGATGTAATTTTGATGCCTATCTTGGCCAGGTCTCCCTTGCAAAAGAGATTTTTAATCTCAATGGGTATTACCTGGTTAAATAAAGGATAAATAAAAAATAAAAAAATATTATAAAACACAAACCAAAATAAAATATTTTTTTTAAGTGAATGTTTTTTTATTTTAATTACACTGTCACAAGTACAGCGCAACGAAATTCATTCTCTGCATTTAACCCATCCTCTTGGGGAGCAGTGGGCTGCCATTGTGCGGCGCCTGGGGAGCAGTGTGGGGTTAAGGGTCTTGCTCAAGGACCCAGAGTGTCAGTCTGTGAGAGTGGGGCTCGAACTCACAACCTCAGGATTCCAAGCTCTATGCCCTAAACACTAGTTGTCCACTCCCCCACTGAGTATACTGATGAATGTATACTCCAAAGTAGAAATGAAGTGGTGTACAGCGTCCTTGCTGTGTGGGGCTTTCATATCCTCTGATCTCGTCTTAAAGTTGAAAAATATCCAAGAATAATGTTAAGCAAATAACCTCTGTAATCCCTAACGCACCACTAGATGGCAGTAAATGTTATACACTGAGATTTAAATCAAACTTTTCAAAATATTAAACCTTTTCTCTCTTATATATTTCATTTCCATACTTGGTGAAAGTGTCCTTTCTTTTGTTGTAGGGAATGTGTGCCACCTAAACCCATCTCTCTGTCACACACCAGAAATACATATATTTTTTTATTTGCTTTCACACACTGTTGACAACTGTTGTGGCTCCGGCGTCCCACTCTCACCCAGACATGATCAGTCGGTTGACGCCCATCTTCAGCTCTGGGGCATCTCAAGTGAGATAAAGCAAAAACAATCTGAGTATGACTCACACAGGAACACAAACTCTGTGTGTGACTCAGGCGGTGACTCACTGCTGCCCACCAGATCTGCTCACTCAATTATACGCTTCAGAAATGCGCCTGGAGCGAACGACTGCAGGGGGAGGCGGCCCGGCCGGGTCCGGTGCGGCCCTGACGATGAGAGGGGCCTTGTGTACGCTGTGTGTGGGAGGATGGGGAAGACGGGGCTTCATGGGAGGTCAAAGGTTAGCCTGATTACCAAGTAACACTCTTTGACATTTTAGAAATTTTATTTGCCGGGTCGAGACATCAATCAGAATCTGTCTGCTGATGTAACCGGAACATTGAAGATATCCATACCGACTTGGGTCGGACTGATCCTTCTTCTTTATGGAGATAATAACCACAATACCCCCCCTCAGGCTCTGCCTTCCTGTGGTTTAATCTTTAATCTTATAAGTGGTTGATTACCTCAAAATCCTGATACTGTTCCTCACTCAGCGACTTCTTGGAGACCACAAGGACCCTCAGGCCTTCCCTGGCCATGTTTCCACACTAAGAAACAGAACAAAGAGTGGGTAACAGAGGCTCTCAGGGGGAAACGGGGAAAAAAAAACCATCAGAGAGGCGTTTACCTCCTCTTCCAGCCAGTCGTTGTATTGGACGATGCCCGCCATCACCACATCAGCACCCTTCATGTAGAAAGTTATCTCTCCTGTCGATTCGTCCTGAAAAACAGACATTAGAGACCTGACTTTTTCACACATTTTCCTCCGCAACATGAGCTCTGGGACTCTGCGTTGCCTAGAAACCTATTTGGTAACTGTAATAGATTTAATGTCACATTTGTAAGGAAACCAAGTCAAGTTAACAGCTCTCAGGCTTCCTGTGTGAGATAGCGGCCAACAAAAACGATGTTAGTCACCAGAGTGAGTCACAGGCCAGGAGGTGAAGTTTTTCTCAGACAAAATACTTCGGTTTTTTTGTTTGTTTTGTTTTGTTTTTCGGTCCAAACAACAGCCGCAATACGCTTCGATGACAAAGCAAGTTCACACATGGACAAAAAAATTGTTGCAATTGTTTTAATGAAAGAAAAACACTTAAAGGTAAGAAATAATGAATCTGAGAAAAGTTTAAAAAAATAAAGATTCTCTGAAAATGAACAAATGAAGAGAGACTTTTTGACAGCCCTTCAGGGGGAAGCTGGAGGACGCAGGAGTGGACAGACATCTTGCTGCCTGGACCATCAACTACCTAACTGACCGCCCTCATTTATTTCTACACTGCAAAAAATCTAAATCTAAATAAGTCATTTTTTCTTGCAATAAGTGCATTTTTTCTTGAATTGAGGAGGTAATTGAGACACTTTGCCAATGGAACAAGACAATTTACATTTAAAATAAGAAAACACAAATGCATTGTCTTATTTCAAGTGAAAATTATCTAATTATCTTATTTTAAGACTAAAAATACTAATTCCAT